TGGATATAACGGTACGCTAGGTACTGTGTGGATACAACAGTGAGATGTTCTGTGTGGATATAACGGTACGCTAGGTACTGTGTGGATACAACAGTGAGATGTTCTGTGTGGATATAACGGTACGCTAGGTACTGTGTGGATACAACAGTGAGATGTTCTGTGTGGATATAACGTTACGCTAGGTACTGTGTGGATACAACAGTGAGATGTTCTGTGTGGATATAACGGTACACTAGGTACTGTGTGGATACAACAGTGAGATGTTCTGTGTGGATATAACGTTACGCTAGGTACTGTGTGGATACAACAGTGAGATGTTCTGTGTGGATATAACGGTACGCTAGGTACCGCGTGGATACAACAGTGAGATGTTATGTGTGGATATAACGGTACGCTAGGTACTGTGTGGATACAACAGTGAGATGTTCTGTGTGGATATAACGGTACGCTAGGTACTGTGTGGATACAACAGTGAGATGTTCTGTGTGGATATAACGGTACGCTAGGTACTGTGTGAATACAACAGTGAGATGTTCTGTGTGGATATAACCGTACGCTAGGTACTGTGTGGATACAACAGTGAGATGTTCTGTGTGGATATAACGGTACGCTAGGTACTGTGTGGATACAACAGTGAGATGTTCTGTGTGGATATAACCGTACGCTAGGTACTGTGTGGATACAAAAAATATAAAAGTATTGATGATATGGATAGCGCCGTATGGATATTTCAGAGAGAGAGAGATAGAGATGATTAAGTGAGGGAGAGTTGTATATTTACTATTTGCATTTACTATTTGTGCCTACAGGAACGAGCTGTTAGCTCTTGGACTCCCGATTTGGTTATATATATGTCGTACCTAGTAGCCAGAACGCACTTCTCAGCCTACTATACAAGGCCCGATTTGCCTAATAAGCCAAGTTTTCCTGAATTAATATGTTTTTTTCTAATTTTTTCCTTTGAAATGATAAAGCTACCCATTTTATTATGTATGAGGTCAATTTTTTTTTATTGGAGTTAAAATTAACGTAGATATATGACCAAACCTAACCAACCCTACCTAACCTAACCTGACCTATCTTTATTGGTTAGGTTAAGTTAGGTAGCCGAAAAAGTTAGGTTAGGTTAGGTTAGGTAGGTTACGTAGTCGAAAAACAATTAATTCATGAAAAATTGGCTTATTAGGCAAATCGGGCCTTGCATAGTAGGCTGAGAAGTGCGTTCTGGCTACTAGGTACGACATATATATATATATATATATATATATATATATATATATATATATATATATATATATATATATATATATATATATATATATATATATATATATATATATATATATATATATATATATATATATATATATATATATATATATATATCCCGTCTCACACACACACATCCCACATGAAGCTGTCTTGCTCCCAGGTCCTATTTACTGCTAGGTTAACAGAGGCATGAAGTGAAAGAAACTGCCCATTTGTTTCAGCCTCGACAAGAATCGAACCCGGACCCGTATATAACCACTGCAAGAACCTGTGTAAGAATCGCTCCAGTTGTTATATATGGAATATTCGCGGTGTTGTTAATGATTGTGTTCTAGAAAAATAGCCTCGTGAGTAGGGAATTTTGGGTAAATCCAGGCTGTATATTGTGTTGGGTGTCGTTAATGGTATTGACGGAGAGTGAATTTTTATTCTATACTAATACGGATTATTATATTAAAAAAAAAGGTTGAATTTCGGAGATAATTTTTAATGAGTAATAAAACCAGAAAATGTTGCAACACTTGAATAAGCAATTGGGCAACTATAAAATACTATTTTTTTTTGGCAAGAACTACAAGTGCAAAGTTGGTTACTCCATCATCTGTTCTACAGTATTCTCTTGAAAAAAAATATAGATATATATATATATGATAATCCATGCAAAGGAATGAGGCAGGCGGTGCTATTCATGTTAAAACTATCCGGGTTGTATATAATGCTCAAATGTAACCAAAGCCTAGTCGCGAATTTCATGCCAGATTCATACTAAGAGTCAACCGTAATAATTATTATCGTAAATGATGTCTACGTTTGAATCTAATCAAAACCCATTCCTCATTATCCATTAATCCATTCGAAAAACAAAAAATCCTGTTTAATGCCCGAATCTAATCAAATAAATCCTTTCACGTCGGGCGGGGAACCAGTCTGGGTGAAACAAACCTTCAATAGGGATAATAATTAAGTAACGTTAGAGGTTTGTAGAGTGTTATTAGTACATGCTCAGGAGAGGTTGAGGCAGTCAGTACGTTACGAAGTATAGCCTAGGAAAGGGAGAGAGAGAGAGAGAGAGAGGGAGACAAAATGAAAGATAAGGAGGGGCAGAGAGAGGTCACCCTAAAATGGAGAAATTAAATAATAAAGAGAGAAAACAAGCACAAACAGGACAGAGATGAAAAGCGAGGTAGATATAATAAATACAAACATCACATGATAGCAACATTATGTGTGTTCCCATTCTCATGGTGCAGGTGTAGGATTGTTACTGATGCAGCGATGTTTGTTAGCGGTGTAGCGACGGTTGTTAGCGATGCAGCGACGGTGGTTAGCGTGCAGCCACGGTTGTTAGCGGTGCAGCGGAGGTTGTTAGCAGTGTAGCAACGGTTGTTAACTGTGCAGCGACGATTGCTAGAGATGCAGTGACGGTTGTTAGCGATGCAGCGACGGTTGTTAACGGATAAACACCCCATTTACACCATACTTATCTTCTCCCTCAACCCCCTCCTACTCCACCCCTTTACACAGCTCCAAAACCTCTTTCCCCCATTCCCGGCTCTAAAGAACTCCATGTCTCTGTTCTCCCCATCTCCTCCCTGTCTCTCTAACTCCCCTTCCCCATTCGTCTTCCTCCCCACCTGCCTTACAACACCTGCCTAACCTTGAGATTGATACCACAGGTGTGGTCTGATTCTAACCCGCCGACACTCAGCACACACCTGACTCAGAGCTGAGCCACGTTTGACGTCGTTCACATTCCTTAAGTTGATGTTCTGGAGGAAGGTTTGGCGTCGTCCCCACTCTATAACTTGATGTTCTGAAGGAAGGTTTGGCGTCGTCCCCACTCTATAACTTGATGTTCTGAAGGAAGGTTTGGCGTCGTCCCTATTTCATAACTTGATTCTGTCTTCACCAAGTTGTGATAGTTGAGTTTAAGGTCCCTGGGTGTAGGAGCTTAAAGGTTGCTTTAAGGTTTACTTGAAGGCTCTTGAAGGTTGCTAGTACAGGTTCCAGAGTTCCCTGGGCTCTGTCATCTCTAACTTCTCTACCGGCGGGTATCGAGTAGTGTGAGACGTGGTACAGTTGTCAATGCAGACTCTTGGTTTGATTTGCCACAACGTTCAAAATACAATGTACTAATCGAATCATAAACGAACGAACCCCAAACAACCCACCTAACCCAATCTAACCTAACCTAGTCAACCGATGGATAGAAAAAGTGGATATGTGTGAGTAGCTGCTTTTCATAGTACTCTCTAATTTGTACGTTGGGGTCCATAACGTACAAAATGAGACGTACTAGTTGAGAGGAGGGAGTTAAGGGGGTGAGGGGTGATAGGTAAGAGTGAAGGGTGATAGATAAGAGCGCAGGGTGATAGGTAAGAGTGCAGGGTGATAGGTAAGAGCGCAGGGTTAGACCTGATAATTAAGAGTGTAGTAAGGTGATAGATAAGGATGAGGAGCTTCTGGGATGACGTTTGAGGACGAGGCATGATGGAGTGAGGGATGAGGTGGGTGGGTGAGGGGTGAGTGATGAGGGGGGTGGGGGTGAGGGATGAGGGAGGGGGGGAGGTGAGCGTGTACTGGGCAAGGTCGTGTACAACCTCCCTGCCCCCACTCCAACACCAGTACACACAAGAACACAGTGTACACACACACACACACACACACACACACACACACACACACACACACACACATCCAGAGACAGTGCAGTAGCCATACACAGACTCAGACTTAGTTACAAGTGCTACTGGGAGGTAATAACCCCAATAGTTAAAGAGTGTCATATCTGTGGAACAGAAGCAGAGGCGCCACTATTACACTACTTACTAGAATGTGAAGCTTCTGAAGTCCTGCGCATCAAACTACACATTAATCCAACGACAGCAACTGCATTAGATGCAAAATCCACAGCGACTACAATGATTAGAAATCAGTTGAAGAATGGGACACACTAGTGAACACTATGCCTCTACATCCGCCACCAAGATAATGTTATTAAAACAAGACTAAAATCAGTGCGCCAAAACAGAAGCGAAAAGAAAACGGGAGAAAAGGAGGAAACCCCACCTCCATTTAAAACTTTGACCCAAATATCACAGTAACAAGGCTATCGCGGACAACCGAACTCAATTACGGGCTCACCATAGCCCGTGCTACATGGACACTTCGTTCTGAGTAGCTAAATCTAAAACAATAACAACAGCACGCGCGCGCGCACACACACACACACACACACACACACACACACACACACACACACACACACACACACACACACACACACACACACACACACACACACATGAACATTGAGTACGGACACATATCAGACCAAGAGACACGTGGATACGTATTCGTGAGTTAAGGGTCATACGAGTATCTGTATGTATCGTTCGGAAAACAAAGGCCACCAGTGTTTCTGTGTACTGTGAGTGTTACAGGGAGGGTCTGAGACTGTGAACTGTGAGTGTTACAGGGAGGGTCTGAGACTGTGTACTGTGAGTGTTACAGGGAGGGTCTGAGACTGTGAACTGTGAGTGTTACAGGGAGGGTCTGAGACTGTGAACTGTGAGTGTTACAAGGAGGGTCTGAGACTGTGAACTGTGAGTGTTACAAGGAGGGTCTGAGACTGTGAACTGTGAGTGTTACAGGGAGGGTCTGAGACTGTGAACTGTGAGTGTTACAGGAAGGGTATGAGACTGTGAACTGTGAGTGTTACAGGAAGAGAAGAAAGAAGGAGATACACACAGTGATTCAAGAAGTCTATAGGCTGATATAGGCCTAAGCTATATTCCAGAAGCTTCGAGAAAGACATCATGGGCGGCGCCGCCCACCACGCCCCCTCCAGACGCCGCCCACGACCGCCCACATCCCCATCGTCCCAGGTGAGGGCTCATAGGTTAATACCACCCTCCCCATCACCCACCTCCCCATCACCCACCTTCCCCATCACCCACCCTCCCCATCACTGTTGTAGCTCCTGTTATATGTTATTATTATATAAATGTTGTTTGACCCCTTATATTGGAGCAGAGAGAGAGAGTGTGTGTGTGTGTGTGTGTGTGTGTGTGTGTGTGTGTGTGTGTGTGTGTGTGTGTGTGTGTGTGTGTGTGTGTGTGTGTGTGTGTGTGTGTGCGCGTGTGCGTGTGTGTGAGAACAAAATCAGTTGCCCCCACACATCTGTCCCTTCGCTAACTGACGGTGACGGTGTTGCCTGTCCGTCAGGACGTGGGGATGGACCTGTCGACGCTGACGGAGAGTGAGCGGGACGCCATCTTGGCCGTGCTGGAGCGGGACCACCACCTCCGAGAGTACGACCGTCAGAGGATCTAGTGAGTACCCCCACACTACTCATCCCTTAGTTAGTACTCATCTCTCCTGCCTGGTGGGTGTGTTGCCCTGCCCCGTGACTCGCACAAACATGGAAACCCAACTAGGTGAATACACACACACACACACACACACACACACACACACACACACACACACACACACACACACACACACACACACACACACACACACACACACACACACACACACACACACAGGGGGAAATCGTAGGAAATCGAAATCGAAATTAGGGGGCCTCGTAGCCTGGTGGATAGCGCGCAGGACTCGTAATACTGTGGCGCGGGTTCGATTCCCGCACGAGGCAGAAACAAATGGGCAAAGTTTCTTTAACCCTAAGTGCCCCTGTTACCTAGCAGTAAATAGGTACCTGGGAGTTAGTCAGCTGTCACGGGCTGCTTCCTGGGGTGTGTGTGTGTGTGTGGTGTGGGAAAAAAAAATAGTTAGTAAGTTAGTAGTTAGTAAACAGTTGATTGACAGTTGAGAGGCGGGCCGAAAGAGCAAAGCTTAACCCCCGCAAAACACAACTAGTAAACACACACACACACACACATATATACACCACATGAGAGGCGGGCCCAAGGAGCCAGAGCTCAGCCCCCCCCCCCCCCCCCGCAAGCACAACTAGGTGATTAAACCTAGTTGTTACCTATATATCTCGAGAGAGAGATTAGTATGATATTACAGTACATATGTATGATGTATATGCATCTACATGGTATTTATGTTTGACTTAATAGGCTAAGTTGCTTAATAAGCCGAATGTTTCCTGAAATATTATATTTTTTCACATTTTTTTTTTTGTTATGGAATGATTAAGTTTTCTGGGACACTGTACAGGGTGTCTCAAAAGTTTGGCCGATAGCACACGTATATATTTATCAATATATTTGATTAAAATATATTTATTAGTTAATAGGGGGGGGGAGTGAGAGGGGGGGATACCCGGTATTTCCCGGGTCTGTCTGTCTGTCTCCCACCTATCCATCCATGTATCTATTTTCCCATCTATCTATTCATCGATTCATCCATTCACTCATTTATCTGTACTCTGTCCATCTATCGATCTGTTCATCTATCCAATCATCTCTATCCATTCATTCATTCATTCATCAATCTATCTATCGATCTATTTATCGTCTGTCTGTCTGTCTGTCTGTCTGTCTGTCTGTCTGTCTGTCTGTCTGTCTGTCTGTCTGTCTGTCTGTCTGTCTGTCTGTCTGTCTGTCTGTCTGTCACTGTCTGTTAATTTGTCCCTGCCTCAATCTGTGTCTATCTGTTTCTCTGTGTGTCTGAGAATATTTAGCTATGTGGGCTGGCGGGGCTGTGCCGACAGTGGGGGGTGGGGGTGTGGGGGGAGATGTGGGGGTGTGGGGGGAGATGTGGGGGTATGAGGTGGGGGTCTAAATATGACCCTGACACGCTGTTCCCTTTTGAATTCTGCCAACCCCCTCACCATCCTATGTCCATCCCATACCCCAGACCATGCCCCCCTGCCAGTTTGGGCGAGCTTAACCTTCCGTGTGGGACCTCTCGGTTATGGCTGATGAGCACACGATGAGTAAAGTATGAGTAGAGCAATTATCGTGGCCTTGGCCCGTACATATTCACAAGATATGTAATTGTAGACGATTTGCGTTAATCTGGTCACAGGTGTTAATCAGGTGTTTGCTTAACACAGGTGTTAGGCAAACTTCCTCATATGACGTCCAATACGTGTAGGATCTTACACACCTGTGAACCCCTACACGTGTAGGATCTTACACACCTGAGAGCCCCTTACACGTGTAGGATCTTACAGACCTGAGAGCCCCTTACACGTGTAGGATCTTACACACCTGAGAACCCTTACACGTGTAGGATTTTACACACCTGAGAACCCCTCTACACGTGTAGGATCTTACACACCTGAGAACCCTTACACGTGTAGGATTTTACACACCTGAGAACCCCTCTACAGGTGTAGGATCTTACACACCTGAGAACCCCTACACGTGTAGGATCTTACACACCTGAGAATCCCTACACGTGTAGGATCTTACACACCTGAGAATCCCTACACGTGTAGGATCTTACACACCTGAGAACCCCTACACGTGTAGGATCTTACACACCTGAGAATCCCTACACGTGTAGGATCTTACACACCTGAGAATCCCTACACGTGTAGGATCTTACACACCTGAGAATCCCTACACGTGTAGGATCTTACACACCTGAGAACCCCTACACGTGTAGGATCTTACACACCTGGGGGACCAAATTCGTACACCAGGGGGACAAATCCGTACACCAGGGGACCAAATCCGTACACCAGGGGGACAAATCCGTACACCAGGGGACCAAATCCGTACACCAGGGGACTAAATCCGTACACCAGGGGACCAAATTCGTACACCAGGGGACTAAATCCGTACACCAGAGGGCCAAATCCGTACACCATGGGGACCAAATCCGTACACCAGGGGACCAAATCCGTACACCAGGGGGACCAAATCCGTACACCAGGGGACCAAATCCGTACACCATGGGGCCAAATCCGTACACCAGGGGGCCAAATGTTCAGATATCAAGTGGTTCAAGTGTTCAATTATTTAGATGCTTCAGTGTTCATTTATCGGGATATCCGGATGATCGGATATCAAATAAATGTGTATCATTGAACCGAACGAGAGCGACGGACAGCGCCATCGTATTACTAACTTCATAGCCTAGTAACTTACAAAATGTAATTTTGTAACCTATTACAAAAACCTTGTGTAATAGGTTACAAAATCAAAATTTTGTAACCTATTACAGATAGGTTACAAAAAACAACATTTTGCAACCTATTTCAGAAAAAAATATAAAATAATCCATTTGAATTGATATGATTCTGTAACCTGTGTGTATACCGAAGATTCATGTGTCTCATATTTAGTTTTGTTTTTGTAATTCGTGATAAACTATGGCCACGACTCTGATATTTTTTTTGAAATTTTGGATTTTTTTGTTTAAATTGGTATTTTTTATGTGAATTATTGTTCCTGTTTTTTTTTTTTTTTTTACTTTTCCCGTTCCCCCCTCTTATATATGCTCCTTGTTTACTTCATTACTGTATGTTACCCTCCCTCTCTGTTACGTTTCCTTCCCTTTCCCGCTCTCTTTCCCTCCCCTGCCTCTCCCACCTCCCCTCCCAGGCTTCCCATTACTTCCCTGCCCCCCTCCCTCCACCTCTCCCAGCCTACAATGAGTGGATCAGGGTCAAGGCGGCCTAGCTGATTCATTCCGCGACCCATGTGTGTGTGTGTGTGTGTGCCTGCAGGATCGAGCTTTAGCTCTTGGACCCCCCTCCACCTGTCTAGCTACCGCATGTGTAATGAAATGACTCCTAAGCTATTTAGGAGTATAGCTCCTCAGCCACGACAAGCTGTTCCACCCGGGACACCATCTTCCTGTGTCGTGGCTGGCGTCACCATCTTCAACCTTCCTGGGTTGTGTCACCATCATCTTGGCGTCTTCCAGAAACATTGCCCAAAACGTTAAGACCTGCAGCGTTACGTAACGTGTATCAGGAACACAATGTTTACTATATGTATGTGTCACACTAAGACTGCCACACCACACTCTCCTCTACACCTACACCCACACCCATCCCATGCCTACACACACACACCCCACGCCCACACACACACACACCCCACGCCCACACACCCACCCACCCCCCCCCCACACACACACCCTACGCCCACACACACACACCCCACGCCCACACACACACACACACCCTACGCCCACACACACACACACACCCCACGCCCACACACACACCCACACCCCACGCCCACACACACACCCACGCCCCCACACACACCCACGCCCCCACACACACCCACGCCCCTACACACACACCCCACGCCCACACGCCCACACACACACACCCCACTGTCAGCAAGGGTCCCGCCCCTGCCCCTGGAACACGTGAGGGGGGGGGGAGGGTGTTCAGTGAGTCACCTGGAGACTGTTTCTAGGTTTGGTGATGGGGTCCTCCTCCCCCCCCCCCATCTCTCTCACTCACACACACACACACACTCCCCTTCCCCCCCCCCGCCCATCACTCTCTCACACACACACGCACACACACACTTTCCCTCCCCCCGTCCATCGAACACCTGTGCTTAACACCTTACAGAGAATCCCTTGTCTTCTTCACTTCTGTTCTTTCATTTACACCTTCACTCTCACCCTCTTCCTCCCCCACTTCCCCTTCCTCCCCTCCCCCCCCCCTGGCCTCCCCTCTCTCTCTCTCCATCCCTGGAGTCCTGTTTGCAGTCACTGCCAGTGCCAAGCCTCAGTGCCTCGAGGGACTGTCGAGCGCCTCAGTAATAGTGAGAGTGAAAATAATATTGATGTTCGTAAGACAATTTGTGGTGAACGTGACGTGGATTGTGACCAGGTAGCCACTACGTTAATGGTGAATGTTGCTGTGTGACATGATGGTGACTCACTGTGAAGGTGAAATGAACGGTATTCAGCACAGCTTGCTAATTGGTTTCGTAATTAGCAGCCAGTTTGTTAATATCTATATATATGAATGAAAACTCCACACCCCAGAAGTGACTCGAACCCGGGACAGCCAGGAGCAACAATGCAACTGGTGTACACGGTACTTTAACCACTCGACTATCCATGACCGTCCAAAAGGCGATGTTAGATGAGGCTATTTCACCGTCCCGACGGCACTTTGTGGTAATCTTGGGCACAGTTATTTCATCAAATCACTTCACTTTGTGGGGCCTTGTGAGCAACACAAATGCAAACAAGCTTATCTTGAGATGATTTCGGGGCTTTAGTGTCCCCGCGGCCCGGTCCTTGACCAGGCCTCCACCCCCAGGAAGCAGCCCGTGACAGCTGAGTAACACCCAGGTACCTATTTTACTGCTAGGTAACAGGGGCATAGGGTGAAAGAAACTCTGCCCGTTGTTTCTCGCCGACGCCTGGG